GGAAAGTTAATATGGGACATATATATATATATATATATATATAAATATATTCAAAAGGGACATATATGTATATATATTCAAACGGATATATACATATATATTAATCTTTTTCATATTCCCCAAATTATTTGGTAAGTATATGGTGTCCCTGTGATGAAACTCTTCACTCTCTGTCTTCCTACCCTGCATTTTAGAGGTAGTCATGGCCCTTCAAGATTTCCAGAATTAAGAAACTTGTTTTCCTACTGAAGTTTCCACATATCATGAGGGTGGGGTTGAATTGATGACTACATTGTGTAACTCTTGAACTAGTAGATTTTCTTTTGCATGGAGAAGTTAAAGGACCAGGCAGAGCATAAACCCAATAGATGCTGGAGAATCATCATGAAGAATTATCCATATGTTTATTGGTGGATTACCATTCATTGCTGTGAGTTAAATCTCTGAGCAGAGTCCTATCTCGTTACCATGGTAGTTATGCTAGTGGATTCAGGAGTATCATTTTTTCTTTTCAATTTTAATTACAGTTATATGAGCAAGATAATGAGTGCATTTCTTATCCAGCATTGTCAGAAGTATCTTGATCACCAAATTGTATTTCTTTGCATATGGATGATGTGTGAGTCAGGGATCTTGTCACAAGTCACAGAAAACAGCCCCCGCAGATATAAATATAAGAAAACTTTGTTAAAAATATGTTAGAAAAAAGAACAGAAATGGAACTCGGTAAATGGAGTGAATGAGTGGAGAGAGATGGGGACAATGATGAAATAGGAGACATTGATCAAAATGCACTGTTAAGCTGACATGTTAAATTGAAACTCCCTATACAACACCTTCAAGATGATAAAATAAACAGAAATGGAGAAACAGAGAAGTACAGTTATACTTGTTAGTTCTCATGCTTGTTGGGTTTCTGTTTCAGTGACTATCATCATTTGTGAAGAATTAAAAAGGTCTATTTTGCTCATGGTTTTGGAGGTTCCAGTTGGCTGATTGCATGCAAGAGGGTGATGGGAGACTGCAAACAAATGGGGAAATGACGTTCAACCCTGAAGTGATTTTTCAAGTGTATTAAATATATATTTTCATTATTCAGTGAAAATTTTAACATATTTCATTGTAACTGACAAGACAGGGATATCATGGGAAATGGAAAAAAATCACAGACACTTTTCACTCCTTGCACTCAAGTTTTGTCTTGTGCATTCATGTTTGAGGTTGTGATAAATCATATAATTTCCTCAAATGTCATAGCTTAACACCAGTGTATCTTGCCCTTGCAGCATTCTGGACAAGGAGTTGGCCACAGGTTCCAGGAATGGGCTCTGCCCCAAATTTTCTTCAGGATCCAGTCAGAGTAAAATAACTTTGTATTTGTGACATCTGCCAAACAAGAGCCCCTCGGTGCTGCTAATTATCCTTCATTCCCTTTCTTCCTTCTTTTGTTCCTTACTTCCCTCCCTGACTCCCTCCTTCCCTCCCTCCCACCCTCCCTCCCTCCCTCCCTCCCTCCTTCCTTCCTTCCTTCCTTCCTTCCTTCCTTCCTTCCTTCCTTCCTTCCTTCCTTCCTTCCTTCCTTCCTTTCTTTCACTTCTTTCTTTCTGTGCGTGTTGTTCCTAGAACTTGAACACAGGCCTGTCCAGTATTCCTCTTGAGTCATACCCCCACTTTTGGTTTTGTGGTGGTTAATTGAAAATAAGAGTCTCATGGAATTTTCTGCCTAGGCTGGCTGGGTTTGATCTGCAAACCTCAGATATCTACCTTCAGAGTAGCTAGAATTACAGGCCAAATTACTGGCTCTGGTGTCTTTAGTGTGTCTGGATAGATTAATTCTTTTTGTCCCCCTGACTCTCTTTAATTCTAGATGCTTCTATTTTGATCCTGTTACTTTTCTGGTCTTTTTCATTTTCCAGTATTAAACCCAATTATTTTCTGAATAAATTTCTGTTCCACTATTAAGCCCCTGATCCCTTGTTTCAAAACCTCAAACACAGAAGTCCCTATTCCTTGGTCGGATCTCCTTTCCTGCACCCTGTTTTCCAGATGCACTGGGTTTAGATACTGTTCACCATTTAAATTCCTGTTTTCTTCTTTCAATCCTTGCCAACAGTCCCACACTTACACACATGTTTATTACATATGTTCATAGATTAAAAACATGTCATATATGTCCCATATGACTTTGTGTGTCTACATGCATAGTTATCTTTTAGGTTTAGCAAGCACACATGAGAGAAAGCATGGGACCGTCCTTTTGAATATGGCTTGCTTTGCTTACCATGAAGGCCCCAGATCTGCTCACTTATCTGCAAATGACTCAATTTAATGTGAGGTCAGGCCAGGCTCCATGGCAAATGATTTATAAGACTTCCCAAAGGACTCTTGAATCCCAAACAGGTCAGACACAGATTTCACTCTGGAAATCAGCAATATGCACCCTGCTGAGGATGCTGGAGTTTACTGCTGCTTCCAAGGCCCACAATATCTTACCTGTGTGGTAAAGCCCACAGCAAAAACTTCCCTGAGTGGAGTGGCCCAGCTGTCCCCATGTGTGGCTTGTCTGGGGTCCAGCAGGGCAGATGCTCTGAGCCTGAGTGACAACAAGGTTGGAGATCTCAGACATCAAGTTGTAGTTGAGGTCTCTGTCTCATAGGGGCCATGGCTACTCAGTTACTCAGAATATGCACCACCAAGAAAGCAGCAACAGCAAGTGCTAGTGAGGATAGAGAATGAACTCTTGCCTAGGATTCTCTTGCTCTCCATCTCCAAAGAATAGGATTAGAGGCCCAAGAAACCCCACTTGGCCACATACACATCTTAAATCCTATAAGATATTCTCCATGTTTGTCTGTGCAGCAAGTATTACTTTACCTGTACCTATTAATTTACACATTCCAATGTGCATGTCTTAATACCTGCCTTTCTAGATGAGGAAATGTAATCTTTCCATCAGCACAGCTCTCCTTATTCTTTCTTTTATATAATAGTGGAAACTGTGATTTTGTTTTACATTGTTTTGCAAAGAGTATTTCCTACCTTCTCTTTATTCTCTCAGGTCCTTTCCCTGTGACAAGGTACTAAAGCCATTTTCTGTGCCTGGTCCTAAGCCTTGGATTCATTTCTGGCCCTATGTTTTGTTTCCTGCTGACATTGTTGGAGTGTGAGCTGTCTTCTGTGGTTCTCCTCAACATCAGAGGTCTAAGGCCTGTCTTCTATGCCCTTCTCTCCCACTCCATACACAGTACATAACAAGGGACCTGTGGCCAGCTTGCTTAAGCACTCATGATGGATTGGTGACATGTGATAGGACTTGGTGACTGTGCCCAGTGTCTTTAGGAATCATTGAGTCAGTGAAGATTGAGAAGCATTCATATTGGCAACCATGTCCCATGCAATGTGCAGTGATGGCCAGTGCCACCCAGAAAAGATGACTTCACTTCTGTAGTTTATTCCTCCTCTGACATGTTTGAACAGGGACCTCCCTCCTTGCAGACACTCTACCACTTGAGCCGTGCCACCCCTACTCCCTTTTTGCTTGAGTTATATTTTTGGTAAAGTCTTTTTTTTTGCTAAGAGTTGACAAAGATCCTCTTACCTACAGCCTCCTGCATAGCTGGAACTACAGATGTGTGCCTTCATACCAGCTTGTTTGCTAAAATGGAGTCTTGCTAAATTTTTTCCTGTGTAGGAATTGAACTGTAACCTTAATCTCAGCCTCATGAGTCACAGGTATTATAGGTATGAGCCACTATGGGAGGCCCTCTGTGATTTTTCTTGAGATACAGGCCAGCTCTCTAGGGGAGATAAATCAGAAGAGCAGAGTCTGCAGTATCACATTATCCCCACTGGATCCTGAAATAAGGAGAACTGAAAGATTAAGTGCAACCATTATAAGCCATTTTCATTACTTTTACCCAATAAGTCATTCTTTTGTGTTTGTGATTTAGTTTATATGTCAATGTGAAAAGGAACAGAATTGGCACAAAATCCCTTCTAGAAGTCAATGATACCAACTTTCTGGAAACTTCCTTGAGTTAGTCTTTTATATTTACCCAGTAGTGATGTACGGCTTCTATACATTTCTGTCACAAATATTATGGGCTGTGTGTTACAGATGACCATCAATGGGGTTTCGTTGAGTGTAGCTGAGGCCCCATGGGACAGAGAACTCAGCTGCAGTTTGTGTCTCTGATTTCTCCACCTTGTCCTTGCACACAGACTCAGAGAATCTGCTCTGCTGGTCCCCAGGCAAGCAGCACATGGGCACAGCTGGGCTGCCCCGTGCAGGGAGGTTTTTGCTATGGGCTGTAGCACAGTGTTAGGGAGCTTTGTCTCTTGCTGGCAGTAATAAACCCCTGCATCCTCAGGCTTCACCCTGCTGATTGTCAGTGTGAAATCTGTGCCTGACCCAGTGCCACTGAACCTGTCAGGGACCCCAGTAAATCGGTTGGAAACCCTATAGATCAGGAGTTGTGGAGACTGGCCTGGCTTCTGCAGGTACCAATTCAAGTATGTGTTTCCATTGCTATGCAGGAGACTCTCACTGGACTTGCAGGAGATGGAGGCTGGCTCTTCAGGTTTGATGGACATGGAGAGTGGAGTCTGTGTCATCATGATGTCTGCACTGGATCCTAGAAAGAAGAAAGTTAAGTGCAGAGTCACATAAAAATTTTTAGCTGGCTTCATAATTTTCCTCCATTGTACTTAATTATTAGTTCAATTTTGATTTGGATTGTAAATATTCAGTTTTATGATAAGTGCCCAGAGGGTTTTGTCCTTACCATCTCACTCTATAGAACAATTTTAAGCAGAATCTAGATCCTGATGCCCTGGATTCTTCCTCCCCCTCAGAGCTCTAAACTGCACCTGCCACTCTGATGTATGAGATCCACACACCTCACATGTGGACAGAACAGACAACAGCAGCAGTGCTGCATCAGACCCCACCCTCACACCCCATCACTTTCTTCATTTCTTTCATCTCTCTGTGTCCTTACCAGGGATCCAGAGCATCAGCAGTCCCAGGAGCTGAGCAGGACATCTCATCTTGAGAAACTGAAATGAGGAGTCTTGATCAGTCAACTTAGGGTGAGAGCTGAGCTTTTATCTTAGACTTAGCAAGGAGGCTCCTCCCTAGGGAGCACTATGCAAATTGTATGCTGCGTGCAGCAATATGGAAAGACTTAACGGGGATGGAAGGAGGCATCTTAGTTGCACCAAATATTTTTTGCATTGGGAAGACTCCAGTAAGGATAATTTGATGATGCCTGCCCCAATGGGCAGTAAGAGGCCATGTGGAAGGTCTGGATGTGTTAGTTGGGGCAGAAGGGGGAGGTGAGGTACATATGGACCCACCTCTCTAGGACAGTAAAGAGACCCAATGCAGTGCAGGTGTGGGGACTGGTCTCTTGTAGGCGAGCAGTGCCCATTTGGTTCCTTCCCAGCTAAGAAGGTAAACAACTTTGCTCTTCCAAATATTGCCCTTTAGTTTCCTACCATTGACAGCATAGACTTGAGCTATGCTGGTAGTAGCCAAGTGGACAAAGCATGTTAGAGACAACAGCTAGCAAAGGCTTTATCCTTTGTGTTAGTGAATTAAATTGTGTGATGCTCATGTGCGGAACACTCTGAAGGGGAGGGAAAAAAGAATTCCTGTTTTAACTAGAGAGCTAATTGTCAGGTTGAAGATAAGCACAAAGGTGGGAAATTATACTTTTAGTAGTATATATAAATATCCTAGGAACTAGTTTTTATAAACATGAACATTCTCTCATTGTTATTTCCATATATATACCTATATCTATAGATTAATGTCAGATTCATGCAACATTCCCTCCAAAATTAATTGTGCTTGGTTTGAAATCAGGTTTTCAAACTTGATAGGCTGGTATTTTTCCGCTTGAGCCATGAATTTCAAACTATTTTATGCTTGCATTGTTGGTTGTTGAATCTTATGGACTTTTTAGCCCAGCTTGGTTTATAATCACAATTCTCTGGATTTCAGCTTTCTGAGTAGATATCTAGAAGCCACTGGTACCTGAACAATATTTCTTTTTATTTATTAATTAATCTTCATATTTTAACTTATTGTGTCAGAACTGGGGCTTCAACTTAGGGCCTGAACAATGTCCCTTAGTATTTTTATTCAAGATTGGCACCCTACTCCTTGAGCTATACCGGTATTTCTGGCTTTTTTTCTGGTCAATGTGAGAGAAGGGTCTCATTTGCTTTCCTACCAGGGAAGGCCTAGAACCACATTCCTTAGATCTCAGTCTTATGAGTAGCTAGGATTACAGGTGTGAACAAATCTTGCCTGGCCAAAAGCATTCTAAAGAGGATGATATCTTTATATTATCAGGTATAATGAATACTTATGGAAATTTTTTCCCTGAATGGTCTTAGAAAATTCCTTCCCATGTCTATTCTTTCTTGTCAAGCATATTACACAGTCACAGTCATAATTTCACAGTTTAGGGATGGATGATGCCTCAGTGGTAGAATGCTTGCCTCACATGCATGAGGCACTGGGTTTGATTCCTGAGCACCACATAAGCAAACAAAAGCTGGAAGTAGCTCTGTGGCTCAAGTGGTAGGGCACTAGCCTTGAGCTGAAGAGCTGAGGGACAGTGCCCGGGACTACAGAAATATTGTAAGGTTGTCTGAGGGACATTGTTAGGAGTTTTTGTGTGACAGGTACCTGAATGTTGCTCATGTTCAAGTGGCTGATGCAATGAAGTTATTCTTTATTCTTTAGAGATAGATTTATTAGTAGTAGTTTTTTTTTGTGTGTGTGTGTCTGTGTCTGTGTGTGTGTGTGTGTGTGTGTGTGAACTCAGGGCATAGGTACTGTTCCTGAGCATTTTCTTTTCTTTTGTTGAGGCTAGTGCTCTACCAGTTGAGTCATATGTCTACTTATTTGTGGTTAAGTGAAGAGCAGAGTCTCATAGACTTTATTGCTGGCAGGCTGGCTATAATTGACCTGCAAGCCTTAGATCTCAGCCTTCTGAGTAGTTAGGATTATGTGCAGGAACTCTTGGTACTGGTAGATCTAGTGCTTCTGAATAGATCAATTCTTCTTCTCTCCAAACCCCCTTAATCTTGGATGAATCTACTTTGACCCTATTCCTTTTATTCTGGTCCTTTACTTCCCAATATTAAAACCAAATAGGTATCTTCTGAATTTATTTCCTTCCCAATATTAAGCCTTTGATCTCTTCTTTCAAAACCTGAAACACAGAAAATCATATTCCTAGTTCATTTCTTCTGTCCCTGCACCCTGTTTTCCTGCTGAGCTTCTGTGGTCAACTTCAAACAAAATGCATCTCTGTAGTAACTCCTCATGTCCTGTCCCTTTTACCTCCCTTCAGATCTTTCAGTCATCCTTTCTTTCAAAGGTCATTCTTGCTTTGTGCAATTCAATCACTAGAAAGGTGTGATAGCATTTCCCATTAGGTTTTCTCATCTTTTGTCAATTTTTTCTTTAGTTTATCCATGGGCACCCAAGTCCAATATTGTGGTAGAAAGATATTGTGGGTCTTAGATTTAGTAAAACTTGGGTTCCTTATGCAGTATGTCATTAACTTGGCCATTTTAGTGTTGTAGAGGCAAAGTGAAAAGTCATCCCAATATTACTTCTCTATCCCTATATGAAATCTGTGTGATAATGATATTTAGTTTCTGAAAAGGTATCAGTATCTGAAAAGATAACCCAAGATATGCCACTCTGAATACTTTTTTTTTTGTTTTTGGTTGGTCGTGGGGCTTGAACTCTGGGCTTGGGTGCTGTCCCTGTGCTCTTCAACTGAAGGTGAGCACTCTACCATTTGAGCCACAGCGCCACTTCCGGTTTTCTAGTGGTTTATTGGAAATAAGAGTCTCACAGACTTTCCTGCTCAGGCTGGCTTTGAACCATGATCCTCAGATCTCAGCCTCCTAAGTAGCTAGGATTACAGGCATGAGCCACCGGCATCCAGCTCTGAATACTTTTTGACATTAAAGTTTTTTAGCCAGGAGCTGTTGGCTTATAATTTTACTACTAGCTACTCAAGAGGCTGACATTTGAGAATCATGGTTCAAAGACAGCATGGGTGGGAAAGTGTGAGACTCTCATCTCCAATTACCCCCAAAATGCTGAAAGTGGATCTGTGACTCAGATGGTAGAATGCTAGCCCTGATCACATAAGCTAAGGATCAGCACTCAGGCCTTGAGTCATAGTTCTAGTATTGGCACAAAAACACACAAAAATTTTGTGGGTGAATGATAAATATTTAAAAATACTGATATGAAGAAAGCTATGCCATTCGTTTATTCAGAATGTTTATGGAATACTTCCTGTGTGTTGAGTGAAAAAAATACCAAATTTTTATCTTTGAATAAATGCCCCAGGACATGCCTATGTTTAGTGTCTGAGGAATTGTCAAAGTGCATTCCACAGTAGGTGCACCAGTATCCACCCACAGTGTGTTAGTCTTCCTTTCTTTCCACATCTGCATTGGCTCATATAATTGTAACCCCTCTGTATGGTATTTCCACAATTAAAAATAAAAAGAAAATGGACTCTGGTAGAGGAGACCTCTGGACATATTGTCAGTCATAGTGAGGAGGAGGAAGAAGGAGTTTGGATCCAGAGTGAAAGTTTTGGATCAAATTTCTCACCCTGGCCCCATATTAAGCTGTTCCCATATATGGCTTGTTGGGGACCAGCAGGGAGATTGTCTTAGCTTGTGTGTGAGGACAAAGTTGGTGAACTTGGAGCAAGCTGCCGCTGATGCTCTGTGCCCCAGGCACCATGGCTATACTCACGTACTCAGCATAGCCACCATCCAGAACACCAGCCACAGCAGGTGCTGGTAGGGATGTGAGGAAGATATACCCTTCTAAACTGTTGATGAGAATGAACTCTCTGCTTGGCTGAGTTGGAATCATGATTCTCCTGTACTCCATGGCCAAAAGCTCAAGTAGCCCCATTTGGCCACATTTCCATCTTAAACCCTTTAAGATAGTCTCCATGTTGTCTGTGCAGCTGGTGTTAGTTTACATGCATCTATTCATTTCCACATTCCAGCGTGTATGTCTTCTTATTTTCCTTTCTAAGCAAGAAAACATAATATTTCCATCAGTACTACTTTCCGCAGTGTTTATTTTATATAATAGTGTAAACCAACTGTAAGTTTTGGTTCATTTTTTTGTAAAAAGTATATTTTCAGTCCCATTTTCTTTTTTCTCCATTGTCTTGATCCTTTCCCTATAAAAAGGCACTGATGCCATTTTTATGAGCATGAGTCCCAAGCCTGAGGTGCCCTCCCTGCTCTGTAGTTTGCTCACTGCTGACCTTCCCACCCCAGTGCTGCCTGCTGTGGTTCTCCTAGCCAATAGAGCTCTAAGGTCTGTCTTGAATGCCATTCTGCCCTAGGTCATCCACAGTATAGAATGAGGGCACAGACACCTTTGACCAACTTGCTTATGCGCTGATGATGGATTGGTAACATGTGATTGGATTTAAGGTGCCAGTGGGTAGGATCTTTAGTAATCATTGAATTAGCAACCTTTCAGAGGCATTCCTGATGGGCACCACTTCCCATGGAATGTGCAGTGATGTCAGGCACCAACAATGAGGATGTCTTCACTAGTGTTGTCTTTTATTCCTGGGTGCTGGGTTTGATCTCAGGGCCTCCTGTTTGTTAGACACTCTACCACTTGAGCCGAGATACCCCTAGTCATTTTTTGCTTTAGCTATTTTTTAGGTAAAGTCTTTCATTTTTTATCAGATCTGGCAAAGAGCCTTCTACCTACAACTTCCTGCATAGCTGGAACAACAAATGTGTGTGCCATCCAGCCAGTTTGTTTGCTCAGATGACATCTTGCTAACCCTTTCCCTGGGTTGGGCGTTAACTGCAGTCCTCTTAATCTCAGCCTCCTGAGTAGCAGGTATAAGAGGTGTGAGGCACTATGAGAAGCCTTTCTGATTTTTCTTGAGATGCAGGCCAGCTCTTTAGGGGTGATGCATAGAAGACCGATTCTGCAGCATCATATCCCCTCTAGATCCTGAAATAATGAGAATGGAAGTGAAAACAACATGTCATTTTCATGAATTTCCTTGTATTAACTTTTAAAAGTGAAATAAGTTTTGTGTGTTTCTGATTTAGTTTCTATCTCAAAAAGAAAAGCATTGACAAGATACCAAGTCTTTTGTAGAAGTCACATGTTCCTTTGTCTGTGGGAAAATCTTCCCAAGAAAACAGGTCTTCAAACTGTCTGCAAATTTTCTTCACTTAGTCCTGTCTGCTTACTCAGAAGTGACTTGTGGAATCTGTACACTTTTGCCACAAATGGTTTGGGGTAATCTGTTGCAGCTCACCAATAATGGGTTTCGTTGAGTGTAGCTGAGGCCCCCATGGGACAGAGACCTCAGCTGCAGTTTGTGCCTCTGAGTTGCCCAACCTTGTCCTTGCACACAGACCCAGAGAATCTGCCCTGCTGGTCCCCAGGCAAGCAGAACATGGGCACAGCTGGGCTGCCCCATGCAGGGAGGTTTTTGTTGTGGGCTGTAGCAAAGTGTGAGGGTATTTTGAACTCTGTTGGCAGTAATAAACCCCTTCATCCTCAGGCTTCACCCTGCTGATTGTCAGTGTGAAATCCATGCCTGACCCACTGCCACTGATCCTGTCTGGGACCCCAGTAAATCGGTTGGAAACTGTATAGATCAGGGGTTGTGGAGACTGTCCTGGCTTCTGCAGGTACCAATTCAAATATGTGTTTCCATCACTATACAGGGGACTTTCACTGGACTTGCAGGAAATGGAGGCTGGCTCTTCAGGGTTGATGGACAGCAAGGGTGGAGTCTGTGTCATCACAATGTCTCCACAAGATCCTAAAACATGACAGACAAGTGCCAGGTCATGTATACAATTTTTCAGCAGGTTTCATATTGTTCCTCTTGCACATTATAGGCTAGATAACTGTTAGAATTTTGATTTACAATTTAAATGTTCATTTTGAAGACAGGAGGTAAGATTTTCACCCAAAGGGCCTTGTCTGTACCATTTCACTTTATTTTTAGCAGCATCTAGGTCTAGATACTCTGGAATCTTCCCCCCTTCACAGATCTAAAGTGTATCTGCCATCCTGAAGTATGAAACCCACACATCTCACATGTGGACAGAACACACAACAGCAACAGTAATTCCCCTTAGGCCTCACCCTCACACCCCATCTCTTTCCTCATCTCCTTTATCTCTCTGTGTCCTTACCAGGGATCCAGAGCAGCAGCAGTCCCAGGAACTGAGCAGGGCATCTCATCTTGAGAGACTGAAATGAGGAGTAGTGATCAGTGAACTTAGGGTGAGAAGTTAAATTTAGCAAGGAGGCTCCTCCCTAGGGAGCATTATGCAAATTGTATGTTGGGTGCAGCAATGTGGCAAGACTTAAAGGGCATTGAAAGAGGCATCTTAGTTGTGTCAAATGATTTCTGTATTGGATGGAAGCAAGTGCAAACAAATTCCTTGCTGTTTTCTTCAGTGGGCAGTAGGAGGCCATGTGAACATTGTGGTTGTATTGTTGCAGAAGTGGAAGGTGAGGTGCATTTGGACCAACCTCTCTAAGACAGCAAGGAGACCCAGTGCAGAAGAGGTGTGGGAATTCATCTCTTGGAGGGGAGCATTTACCTGTTGGCTCCTTCCCAGCTAAGATGATAAACAACTTGGCCCTCCCAAGTATGTCCCTTCAGTTTTCTACCATTGACAGCAGAGATTTGAGCTATGCCAATAGTTTCTTTTTTTTCATGTTTTTTATTGTGAAAATACTGTACAGAGGTGTTACAATCACATGAGCAAGGCAATGAGTACATTTCTTATCAACCATTGTTGCTTCCTCCTTTATTTTCCCCCTACCATCCCTTCCCTCATCTCTACAACTACATTTGCCCCCGCCAGCCCCCATCCTCCATACCCCCACCTACATTTTAGAGTTCATTTTTTGACATAGCGTCTTGTACATCTCATTGTTGTAATGGGTCAACTTGCATTCCTATTTAAACAATTTGTTTTTTCCCTTTTGCTCCCCAAATTATAACAACATCAAATACAGTGAAAAAAAGGGCTATACCGTTCAGGGAGAGACCTACAAAGCAACAAAAACATCACATGGTACCTTATAAATACGTTAGAAACAATAGCAAGATATAAAAAAACCACTTGTGTCCTTACCTTGGGGTTCATTTTGCTTAACATCCATCACCTTATCTGACCTTTTCTGCTTGTCTAAGATATTTACTAGTTATTTAAATAAGGGAAACCATGAGACCTATGTTTCTGTGTGCCTGGCTTACTTCACTTAATAAATTTTTTTCCAAGTCTTACCATTTCCTAACAAATAGGGCAATGCCATTCTTTCTGTATACTGGTAGTTTCCAAATGGACAAAGCTGTTAGAAAGAAAGCTTAACAAGATCTTTTCCTTGGACCTAGCAAGTTAAACTCTGTGATGCTCATGTGGACAGATCTTGGCAGGGAGGAATACAAGAATTTCTGTTTCAGATAAAGAGTTACTTGCCCAGTTGAAAACAAATGTAAAGGTTGGAAATTTTACTTTCAATACTGAATACAAAGTTCCTGTTAACTACATTCTGTTCTGTGCACATTCTGTCATACTTATTTCCAATTATGTCAGATTCATGAAAACCTCCCTCACAGCAGCACAACTACATTTATTGTAGCATTATTCACCATAGCAAAGATATGGAACCAAACCAGATGCCCCTCAGTAGATGAATGGATCAAGAAAATGCATATATATTTATATGTATATATGTATCTAATAGAATTCTTTGCCACCATCAGAAAGAATGACACCACCCCATTTGTTAGGCAATGGAAAGTCTTGGGAAAATTATATTAAATGAAGTAAGCCAGACACAAAGAAACGTAAGTCCCATGGTTTCCTTTTTTTGCAAGAACTACTATAAGTCTAGGATAATCTTACTGGACAAGCAGAAAAGATCAAAAGCTATGTAATATGACCATATAAGATGATGTTAAGCAAAATGAACTCCAAGATATGGACACAAGAAGTTTTATCTTTGTTTTTGTTTTTAAAGTACTATGTGAATTTTTGGGTTTATTTTGTATGTTTGTATAACCCCAGTTGTCATTATATTTGATTTTGGTATCCTGGATCTTGTATATACATTTACCCATTTTGGGGAGGGGAAGGGGGATAACAAAATGCTGAAACAAGGATACAGGTTGACCCATTGTGACAATGAGTACAAGACAGTATGTTGAAAACGAACTTCACAACTTTGGGGGGGGCAGGGAAGGGATAGTAGGAGAAAAGCAAAGGAGGGTAACAATGATAAACAAGAAATGTACTCAATTAACTGTAACCCCTTGGGGCTTGAACTCTGGGCCTGAGCGCTGTCCTTCAGCTCCTCAACTCAAGGCAAGCACTCTACCAATTGAGCCACAGGACCACTTCCTATGTACAGTATCTTTACAATCAAAACAAACAAAAAAATGCCTTCCTACCTTGGGGCTGGGAAGGTGGCTCAGTGGTAGAGCACTTGCCTTGCAAGCCTGAGGCCCTGGGTTCAATTCCTCAGCACCACATAAGCAGAAAGAAAAAAGCCAGAAGTGGCGTTGTGGCTCAAGTGGTAGAGCGCTAGCCTTGAGCTGAAGAGCTGAGGGACAGTGCCCAGGCCCAGAGTTCAGGCCCCACAACCGGACTCCCCCACCAAAAAAAAATCCCTTCCTCCTTTTCCCCTTTAGGCAATACTCGGTTTGAAGTTAGGGATTCAGACTTGAGATGCCTCTGGTCCTGCGTTATCCTGGTATTTTTGGAGATGAGTATCATGGATAGTTCAGTCAATATTTACATTAAAACTGAAGCTATGGTACTCCGCCATCTAGTGGTTTGTAGTTTAGGTTGTTAAGAATCATCTTAGAGCTTCTAAATTGATTTACTTTCTTTTCTAGTTGCACAGTTACACTTCAGTTGCTGCTGTTTTTGGCTGTTGATTTACATCAGATGATTTCACCGTCCATTGCTCAGGTAAATTGCTCAGGTGAATTGCTTCCTCCTATGCTGATTGCTTTGCTTAGGCCTCTCCATGCTGCTTCTCCGCTTTGATAAATGAGTGCTTTGAATTGGGAACTAAGCTGCTTCAGGTGGACAGGGACAGCAAGATGGTGGCTCAGATCCAAGTCCTCGTGCTCCTGCTACTTTGGATGTTTGGTGAGATATTTGAAAATGTTGCCATAAAAGTTCTACTGCATTCCCATTTATAGATTAATATCTGTGTAGAGATAAATACATTGACATAATACTACAGTGTTGATTTTGATGAAGAATTTCAATACTTATATTCATGTTATAAAGTCTGTGTGTATATAGGTATGATCAGTGTACATTTCTGAATGCTGGTGCTTGTAGGAACATTGTGGTTACTCAGTCTCCAAGGTCCTGGGCTGTGTCTGCAGGAGAGAGGGTCACCATCAACTGCAAGCCCAGTCAGAGTCTGTTATGGAGCAAGGATAATGAGAAGGACATGCCTTGGCATCAACAGAAATGGGGAGAAGCTCCACAGCTGTTCATGTATTGTGCATCCACTCAGTCACCTGGAATCCATTAACAGTGGATCTGGGGCAGACTACACTCTCACTATCAGCAGCATGCAGGCTGAAGATGTGGCAGATTATTACTGCCAACAGAAGTATAACTTCTCTTTTACAGTGCTTCAGCCTTGATCACAAACCTCCTGTCCAGGCCATGGGTCAGTGAGCCTTGCTGTATGCACAGCTGCCTTCTCACATAGCCTTGAACTGGCATCCTTCCTCCCTGTGTGAGAGGGAGCATTTCTCCATTGAGCCCTGGTAGGGTTTGCAGGGACCAGGAAATATTTCAGGTGCTTTGGCTTCTGGATCACTTATTGAAGGAGATAATTGTAGCAAAATATGGTAAGGTTGTCTGAGAGACATTGTTAGGAGTTTTTGTATTATAGGTACCTGAATATTTCTCATGTTCAAATAGCTGATGCCATGAAGTTAGTCTTTACTCTTTAGAGATAGATGTAGTTGTGTGTGTGTGTGTGTGTGTGTGTGTGTGTGTGTGCATGTGAGTGCCATTCCTTAGGCTTGACCTCAGGGCCTGGGTGGTCTTCCTGAGCTGCTTTTTCTTTTCTTTTGTTGAAGGCTAGTGCTCTACTGCTTGAGTCATACACTTGCTTTTATTTTGTTTGTTAATTGAAGATATGAGTTTCATGGACTTTTTCACAGGTTGGGCACCTTAGAATTGCAATCCTTAGATCTTAGCTTTCTGAGTAGCTAGGATTACAGGCAGGAGCCATCGGTGCTGGTGGGTCTAGTGCTTCTGGATAGATCAATTTTCCTTCTCTCTACTTCCTTTAATCCTGGAGTCTTCTATTTTGATCCTATTCTCTCTCAATATAAAACCCAATCATTTCCTGGATTCATTTCTTTCCCAATATCAAGTCCTTGATACCTTGTATCAAAACCTCAAGCATAGAAGGCCATATACCTAGTTTATTTCTTCTGTCCCTGAACCCTGTTCACCAGCTGAATGAACTTCTGTGATCAATTTCAAACAAAAATACATCCCTATTCTACCTCCTCACATCCTGTTCTTTTTTTTAGGTCTTTCAGTCATACTTTCTTTCCAAATTTTGCAATTTAATCACTAGAAATGTGTGACAGCATTTCCCATTAGATTTCCTCATCTTTGGTCAATTTTCTCTTTAGTTTATCCATGGGCATCTCTGTCTAATATTGTTGTAGAAAGACAGTGAGGATCTTAGACGTACTATATGTTGAATTCCTTATGTAGTATTCATTAATGTGAGCTTTTGAGTGTAAAAAAGACAAAAGAAAAAGCCATTCTAATATTATTTCCCTATCGCTATTTGAAATCTAATGAGATTTACTTCCTGAAAAGATATCAGTTAATCCAAGGTGGGCACTCAAAATTCTTTCTTACACAAAAGCCTTTCAGTTGGGTACTGGTGGCTTAACTAGTAATCCTTGCTACTTACAAGGATGAGGTCTCAGAATTGTGGTTTGAAGTCCCTCCAGGTAGGAATGTCTGTGAGAATCTTATCTCTATTTAATCCCCAAAAAGCTAGAACTGGAGCTGTGGCTCAAGTATTTCCTTGAATGAAATAAGCTATGAGAGAGCTGGTAGGTCTCGAGTTCCAGATGCAGATCCAGCCCATGCGCGCGCGCGCACACACACACACACACATCTCTTTTGATATTCGCTTTAAATATTTAAAATATGTACTCATTTTAAAGACTTTGTTAAAACTT